AGGGTGTCAGGAAGGATTTTTTCATGGAAAGCTTGGGATGCACTGGAAGGGGTTGCCCTGGGAAGTGGTGAAGCACCTTGGAGGTGTTCAAGAAACAACTGGACGTGGCACTCTGCTGGGCTTTAGCTGACTGGGTGGTGTTGGCTCAAAGGCTGGGCTTGATCTTGGAGGTCTTTTCCACCCTTGGTGATTTTTTAAGGAGCATTTTTGCAGCTCTGGGGCACTGAGGACTCAGCTTGGTTCAAGGCCAGCAAGAGCAGAGCAGGTCCTTGGTGGGAACCAGGGAGGTTTTCCTGCAGATTTACTGTAAACTCACCCATTTGGGGCAGCTGTGAGTCAGTGAGCTCCCCGAGCAGGAGAGCAGATCATTATCTGAGCACAGCCCGTGTTTGTGAGCACAAACACAAACGGGCTCACGCTCTCACCAACTCCCACACAGCTCCAGCATTAATCAAGAGCTGAGCAGCCGAGGCTTTAATGAGCAGCCAGCAGGGAGGGCAGAACAGCAGCTCCAGCCAGGAATGTGAGTGCTCCTAAACGCTGGGAAGAGCTGCCATGGAGTGTATAAATAATTAAACATTAGTAATTAGAAGAATGCAGCCAGGTCAAGGAAAAGTGAAGCTTTTCAGTTTTTTTTTCTTTGAACTGAGGAATATTGCATTGAGTCAAAGTTATCGCAAGTTAAACCAAAATTATTGCAAGTTATCTGCTATTTAAGATTAAAACAGACCCAAAAAACCAAACACTAAGAACCCTCCAGGAACGAGCTCCTCAGTTCCTTCTCTTGCATAGTCCCAGCCAGTCCTGGGATGAACGATCTGGAAAGGCAACATGGACACTGCAGGTGTTTCCAGCCTTTCTTATCTTCAATCATAATTCAGAAACAAGAGAATGAAGTGCAGGGAAGGGATGGGGACAGGCAGAAGGTCCCTGGCCATGCCCATCACCTCTGCAGCAAACAACACTGGTACAAAGTGCAGAGGGGCAGTCCCAAAACTGGTCCAACCCCTGTCCATCAGGAATGACCCCGGAGCAATCCCAAACCCAGGCTGTGCCCTGTGTCCATCAGGAACCCATCCTGTGCCCCTGCCCATCAGCAATCCCAACCCTGGCCTGTGCCCCTGTCCATCAGGAACCCACTCTGGAGCAATCCCAAACCTGGTCCATCCCTGTGCCCATCAGAACCCAGCCTGGAGCCTCTTCACGGGACACCCCAGCCCAGAGGGGCAGCAGAAGGGACCCCTGAAGCAGTTCAGAGCCCTCAGACCCCATTTCAAGGCTGAATTCCCCTCTCAGCCATCCCCAGGCATGTTTTCCTGGCATTTCCTTTGAGCTGCCTCTCCCCATCCTTCCCCAATTAAACTCCATTTAGGGAATTGTTAAAAACACCCCACACTGGCAACACAAACCACCCCAAACTACACCACCCCCAAAGGACAGAAGCTCCCCAGATCCCTCTCCAGGCTGGTTCCCCATCACACGATTCCCATCCTTCAGCCTTTCCCCACCTGATCCCCTCCAGGCAGGTCCCTGCTGCCCCCAGACTGTCCCAACCACCCTAAAGGCAGAGCTGAGGGCTGTGTTATCAGGGATTATTTGTGGTGTGGGGGATTATTGCTGCCATGGTCCTGACAGGATGCTGAAGCTTGCCAGTGCTGCCTCCAGTTTCACCAGTACAACCCCCTGCTCTCGGGAGCTGGCCTGGATTTGCACCAAGTGCTGTTCTGGGAAATTATAAAACCAAACCAGTTCCTGTTGGGTCTTGTCTGATCTGAGTAAAAACGAGTGGCCAGCTATAAATAGATTGAGTGACATCTCCAGGGCTTCCTGCCTGCCTTTCCTGTGTCTTGGGGCACAGACCTGACTGATTTCACGTGGGAGTTGTTTTTTTCTGGGTGCATCTTCACATCGTGACACCAGCTTGCCAACGTGGCCATCACCAGAGGAACCCTGGGCTTCCAGCCCTGCTCCCTGTGCCCAAGCTGTGGGACCACCCAAACCCCCGGGAACACCCAGCACCTGCAGCCCCAGGGACACAGATTAAGCTGGAAAAATGAGATCCTGTTAATTGAAATGAATAATGGTGGGGGGTCCATTGCACAGGTTCTTTCAGGTGTTGGTCCATGGAATTGGTTCTCATTTTTGGCTGCATTTGGCAGCGTGGGAGAACAAAGTTGAAGGAGATTTGTGTGGGTCTGTTGAGGTTGTTCAGGGTTGCTCAGGCCCACCCAGAGGTGGTGCCAAGGAACAGAGCTGGAGTTTGGAAGAGGAATTAGAGGAGACCCTGAGCTGGTGTGTGGGCAGTAAAACCAGCCAGGACAGCAGGACAAATATTAAAATCTTTAGAGGGACTATGAATTTTCCTGTTCAAATCTGCTCTCAGGCTTCAGGGGGTGACTTTCTTTCATGTCTTGGGACTGGGGAGATTTTTCTCAGAAGAATAATTTCCAACCGGGGTTGATCTGTGGCAGCAAGGCTTGGGTGGCACCACCTGACCCAAACTCTGTGCCCTGGGTCCCTCTCCTATTTCTGTGAGGGTTTTTTCACTCCCAGCTCCGTGTTTGGAGAGAAAAAACAGCCTGTTTATAACAGAGCATCCTGTGTGGGCAGCTGGAAATTCTGTGAGGGCTCACATGTCATCAATAACTTCTCCGCTCTCGTTTTCACCTGGCTGAGCCACTGACAAAGGTGTTCCATTTGCTGTGGTGTTCTGCTCCTGGACTTTCCAGAAAAGGGATTCAGCAGGTTTGGGTACAGCTCTCATGACCTTTTATCCCAGTGGAAAGCAGCGGCTCACAAAGGAGGCCATCGATGTCCCTCTGCCCACTCGGTATTTCCTCTTCCTCGTGAACGTGACTCATGGACCTGATTGCAGCTAAACCCAGGAGCTGTGATCCTCACTGCTCACCTCCTTCAGCCCATTCTCCTGGGATCTGCCCTCCCCTGGGAGCAGGCTGAGGTCGGGCAGAGCTGGCAGCCAGCTGGTCTCAGGAGCTGAACCTGGGGAACCACCTCTGGAACCAGCTCTGGAACCAGCTCTGGAACCAGCTCTGGGAACCAGCTCTGGAACCAGCTCTGGAACCAGCTCTGGGAACCAGCTCTGGGAACCAGCTCTGGAACCAGCTCCGGAACCAGCTCTGGGAACCAGCTCTGGAACCAGCTCTGGAACCAGCTCTGGAACCAGCTCTGGGAACCACCTCTGGAACCAGCTCTGGAACCAGCTCTGGAACCAGCTCCGGGAACGAGCTCTGGGAACCAGCCTGGGCTTTGAAGCCTGGAGGCATCGCAGGATTAGGAAGCTTTGCTTTGGTCCCAAGCACCAACTCCAGTTTGGGTTTGAGCCTCAGGGTGTTCCCATTCACCTCCACGTTCCAGACTGGCAGCTGTGCTAAGACCTCACTTTGCTCCATTTGGTGAATTTGGCTTCACAATTTGGGCTGATTTGAGCTGTGCCTGGGATGGTTTCTGCTGGTCCCTCAGCCTGGCTGTGAACCACTGGTGCTTCCTGTTGTGGTTTCCTGCCTCAGCTGAGACGCCTCCTCTCTGCTCTCCCTTCCTGCTCTCATCAGGGCCACTTCAGAGCTCCATGGGGACAACAGATAGCTACAGGAGGCTCTGGTTGCCATAAATCCAGCTCCTGGCAGGTCTCTGCTGCTGAGGGCTGAGCAGGGCAGGGTGCACAGGACAGAACGGTTCCTCCTGAGCTCTTCCAACGCAGAGATCCAGCCAAGCCCTTCCAGGCTCCCGTGATGCCAGGGGATGGCAGGAGGGCCCTGTACTGCTGGGAGGGACGAACCAGGCTGGTGTGAGCCAGAGCAGGACTGACCACCAGGGCAGGGCTGACCACCAGGGCAGGGCTGACCACCAGGGCTTGACTGACCACCAGGGCAGGGCTGACCACATGTCCAGGCACAGCTCTGGCCACTGTCTGGGAGCAGAGGCCACAGCACTGGGCTCAGCTCACGGGGAAGCAACTTCTCCCACCATGTCCAGAAAAGTCAAATTGGGAAGAATCAGGGCAAACACACACAGCGCTGCCCCAAAATCTGATGTTTCTTTGCTCCTCACATGAGCGATGCATTTGCAGGAGGCACAGATGGAGAAGATCTCTCTGATCTTTTTGGGGTCATCGTCTGCACAGGAGAAACCCCGAAGTTCAGGCTCAGGGGAACAAATGAGACGCTTTGGTGAGGAGAATGTTTCCATTGATTGCAGCAAACTGGGCCCTGCCAACACCCTCTGGGTGGGATTTTAGATAATTCAAGATAGAGATACAAGCCCTGTACAGAGACAAGCCCTAAAGCCCTTCAGCACTGAGGGCTCTGCAGGGACTTGGTCAACGAAGGGCCCTCTCTGCCAAGGGGATCAGAGCATCAGGAACCAGCCAGAGCTAGGTATTGTAGGGGAAAATTCCACAGATTGTTTAAAAAACAATTCAAGGAAGGTTTCTTCTTGTTCCTGCTGACTGATGGTTGATGTCTGCCCAGAAGCATTTGGGTTTCTCTCCTTTCGCTGTGCTTGGTGCAGTTGTTTATCTAAATGTTGTTTTAGACATTTCATATCTACCTCGTGTTTTAATCTTAATGCATTTAAGAGTTTGGCCTTCTAGACCTCCATGGCAAAACTCATTTATTCAGAGAGACCAAAGAATTTCCTTTTATTGTGAACAGGGCTAGAGAGAAAACAGTAGGAAGTCAAGGCTGAAAACATCAGGATGGATTTAAGGAGCACATTTTTAATAGTGAAGGTAATCAAGCACTGGAGGAATTCACTGTAGGATTTGGGGCATTCTCTGTTGCTTGGGATCTTTAAATCAAGATCAGGTGAATTTTTATTTACACTTCCCAGCTCCAGTAAGGGCAGAATAGAGTGATGTGGGACGCCGTGAGTTTGAAATGACCCCACAGAGATCCAGCGGGAGAACCTCTAGACAGGGCAGTCTGAACCCCAATGAAACCACTTCTCAAAACGACGTTTCACGGACCAATTTTCCCTGCCAGGCCAAGCCCCAGCAGCACGTGAGCCATCGCGGCGAGTCAAGGCGGGGAGATGCCGGACGCCGCTGCCCACCTGCCCTTCTACTACGGCAGCATCGCGCGCTCGGAGGCCGAGGAGCACCTGAAGCTGGCGGGGATGGCGGACGGGCTGTTCCTGCTGCGGCAGTGCCTGCGCAGCCTGGGCGGCTACGTGCTGTCCATGGTGTGCGACCTGCAGTTCTACCACTACCCCATCGAGCGCCAGCTCAACGGCACCTACGCCATCCTGGGGGGCAAGGCGCACTGCGGCCCCGAGGAGCTCTGCGAGTTCTACTCCAAGGATGCCGACGGGCTCTGCTGCCCCCTGCGCAAGCCCTGCAACCGCCCCAGCGGGGTGGAGCCCCAGCCCGGCGTCTTCGACAGCATGAGGGACAACATGGTGCGGGAGTACGTGCGGCAGACCTGGAAACTGGAGGTACTGGGCCTTTCCGGGGGTGGGCTGGGAAGCCGTGACCCCTCTGGCACTGCGTGTCCTGTGTGTAGCACAGCAGAGTAAGGTTCCTCTCTTTGGAGGGTGCTGGAGCTGTGAGGGGTCTGAGTCCTGTTCTTTCCCGGTTTCTTCTCCACACGCTGGTCTAAATGTCTCCCCAAGCCTTCAGACCCATCCTTGGAACAGCTGGAACTCACTTTGCAGACCTTTCCCCAAGGAAGAATTCATTTTGCAGGCTTTTCCTCTTCTCTGCAGCCCATGGGATGCTCCCTGACTTAGCCCAGAGCTCTGGTCCCAAAAGCCAACAACCCATCCCAAACAACAAACCCATCCCAGAACTAAACCAATTCATCGCAAGACCCAATGACTCATCCCTGAACTAAACAAACCCATCCCAAACCCCAACAAACTCATCCCAAACCTCAACAAACCCATCCCAAACCCCAACAAACCCATCCCAGAACTAAACAAACACATCCCAAAACCCAACCATAGAGCTCCAGAGGCACATAAAGACATGACCCCTATGTCCTGGATGTGTCCCTGGGATTGGATCTGTTGGTCAGAGTGTGGTGTTAATAAAGCCAAGGTTTTGGGTTCCATCCCCACTTGGGCCCATTTACTTAATAATTGGACTTGATGATCCTTGTGGGACGCTTCCAACTCAGAATATTCTGTGATTTCTGGGAATATCTCTCCATATGTGAGGTGCCTGTGCCTCCAAACGTTGTGCTGAAGATGAAATTAAACCAGACTTCGACTTCTGCTCTGAACTTTTTCACTCTTCAGAGTTAAATTTTTGCCTCTGTGGAGGGTTTTTTTTTGCCAGTGAAGATTTTACCCATGAGACCAAGGCAGGGGGTGCTGGATCAGCTCTGTGTGTTATTTAAATTTAAAAATAGCCACAAACAGGTTCCTGCATTTTATTGCAGACTGGAATATCTACAATATAATTCAAAACTAAATGGTCCCACTCACAGCCACTGGCTTAATTTCCTTCTGCCTGCTGCCACCTTGGCTCCTCAGACACTTCCAGGGGTCATTTTGTTGTTTTCTTGGAAGGGGCTGCCCAGGGAGGTTTGGAGTCCTCACCCATGGAGGTGTCCAAGGAAGGCCTGGATGTGGCACTTGGTGCTCTGGGCTGGGGACAAGGTGGGGATGGGGCACAGCTTGGCCTCGATGACCTTGGAGGTCTTTTCCAACCTAAATAATTCTGGGGTTCTATATTTTCTTTTAAGTCCCCAGAGAAATATGGCTTGGGCAGTCTCCTTACAGAGCCTTTCCACAGAAGCTCTCTAAATGTGACCTATTTACACCAAATGTGTTTGACAGAATGAGGTATTTCACAGGGTGAACGAGGTGTTCTGTAGGGTTTCTACAGATGAATGAGGTGTTCTGTGCTAAAATGAGGCATTTTGTAGCAGAATTCTCTCCCAGAACCGGGAATTCTGTAGGGTTTCCACCAGAGCAGATCTGTGGCCACCTGCAGATAACACAAAGGACATCGCCACCTCCTGGCAGAGGGACAGTAACAGCTGAACACCGGAGTGAGCCGGGAAAAGGAAAAAGGGTCTGTGACAGACCCCCGTGATTTCCAGACTGCACCGAGCTTGCCAAGTCCTGATGCCTGTGGGTGCTGAGCAGCCAGGAGGGCAGGGGCACCAGGAAGGTTGTGCTCTAAAGAAAATCATGGAGTGATGGAATATCCAGAGCTGGATCCCCCAGGGATGATCAGTGCAGCCCCTGGCCCTGCCCAGACCCCCCAACAAGCCCACCCTGAGCATCCCTGAGAGCGCTGTCCAAACGCTCCTGGAGCTCTGGCAGCCTTGGGGCCGGGCCCATTCCCTGGGGAGCCTGGGCAGTGCCAGCAGCCTCGGGGGGAAGAACCGTGCCCTGAGATCCATCCCAAGCCCTGGCACAGCTCCAGCCCTTCCTGGGCTCCCGTCCCTGTCCCAGAGCAGAGCAGAGCTCAGTCTCTGCCCCTTCACCTCCCCTCAGTCTCCTCTGCTCCAGCTGAACGAGCCAAGTACCCTCAGCAGCTCCTCAGAGCCTTCCCCAGCTCCGTGTCCCTCCTCTGGACACTCTCCAACAGCTTTGGATCCTCCTGATCTTGTGGTGCCCCAAGTGCCCCCAGCACTGGAGGTGAGGCTGCCCCAGTGCAGAGCAGAGCGGGACAATCCCTCCCTGGGCCTGGTGGCCCTTTGGGCTGCCAGGACCCACTGGTGACTCAGATCCAACTCGCCACCAACCAGGAACACAAGGATGAATGACACCACACAAGTCCAGCGTTAAGATCCCCCTCATAAATGCGGTGCCTTTTCTCTTCCCCCACCAAAGTCAAAGGACTTCAGCTGCATTTAAGGGATTAGGTCAGTTGAGATAAGCCAGGAATTCTGCTCTGCAGAAGAACAGAATTCAGACATTGTTGGGTCTCAATTAATTACGAGACTTTCCAAGTTTCCTGTGTCATGTGCCCCAGATGAGCTGTGCTGAAGCCATCAGCAGAGCAGCAGGATGGCAGGAGGTCTCTTTTCCTGCTCTTTCCCAGGGGGATGCCCTGGAACAGGCCATCATCAGCCAGGCTCCCCAGGTGGAGAAGCTCGTGGCCACCACAGCCCACGAGAGGATGTCCTGGTACCACGGCAATATCAGCCGGGAGGAAGCGGAACGGAGGCTCTACTCAGGGGCACAACCTGATGGGAAATTCCTGTGAGTATCCAAACCCCTGGAAGATGCTGGAATCCCTGGATTTTTTACCATTTCCCATCCCCATTGCCCTGCTGTTACTGGTTTCTCATGGCAGAGGAGGTGAGGCTGAATGTGCTCATCAAAGATGGGCTGAGCCCCAAATCTGTTCTTGCCCAGTGCCTGCCCCACCATGAAGAGCCAATCTGGAGTTTTGTTTGTTTCTCATATTTCAATAGCTCTATAAAATTTGGTTGCTGCTGCACAGGATGATGAGGGATAGAGGGTTCAGTGGGGGAAGATATAAAACACTGACAGGCTGGAAATGTGAGAAAACACAGGAGAAAGTTTTGCTCTGCATCTCTGCTCTGGTGAGCCAGCAGATTCTTATTAACAATAATTTTATTGATATTATTAATATAATTTAATTCTCTCCTGGATGAGTTAGAGAAAGAAAGAATTCGAACAGTTCATCAGGAGCTGGAGCAATAGGACAAGGGGGAATGGTTTGAAACAAGGAGTAGGGCTGGATGGGATATTGGGAAGGAATTGTTGGCTGGGAGGGTGGGCAGGCCCTGGCACAGGGTGCCCAGAGCAGCTGTGGCTGTCCCTGGATCCCTGGCAGTGCCCAAGGCCGGGATGGATGGATGGAGCAGCCTGGGATGGTGGGAGGAACTGGGTGAGCTTTAAGGTCTTTTTGAGCAGAAGTGATTTGGGGATTCTCTGGTTGTATGAGAGGGGTGAAAAACTGGAGGTGAAGGGTCCCTCCTCAGCCTCTGCAGAGGGTGGTGGGAAGGTGACAATTCAATGAACTCAGCTTTTGGCTTTTGGTCAGGTCTGTCTTAATCTTTGGAGCGGAGTTTTGGCCTCTGGAGGGGTTTTTGCCTTAATGGAGGGATTTTTTTTGCCTGAAGTAGCAGGTACTGGATCAGGTCTGTCATTTAAATTTAAAAATAGCTCCAGACAGCCTCTTGCATTTTATTTTGGGCTGGAATATATACAGTTATATATATACATATATAAATATATATACATACAAATATATATACATACAAATATATATATATCAATATATATCAATATATATCAATATATATCAATATACAATATATACAATTTATGCATTTTATACAGGGATGCAGGGACGCCTCTCCAGGTGCCCACTCACCACTGACACTGACAATCCTCAGAGTAAAACCAAGAGCTGCTTTTAACAATTTATTAATAATTTTCCTTCCTGCCAGGCTGAGAGAAAAGAAGGAGAACCATGTCTACGCCCTGTCCCTGGTCTATGGCAAGACCGTGTATCACTACAGGGTGGATCACGATAAATCTGGGAAATATTCCATTCCTGAGGGCACCAAGTTCGACACGCTCTGGCAGGTACCAAGCTGGGTGTCCCCAGAAATTGAGGCACCTTTTCCTTGCTTTGAAACATTGCTAAACCCCTCAAAGTCATCAGGATAAATAAACCCCTCTAACACAATATTTTTAGTGTTAGCGAGTCAGGAATTATTTTATCATTTTTGGGTTTGTGTGCGTGGCTGATAAAATTCTGGACTCCACACAGACCCTGATCCAAAACTTTGTCACTTATTTGTACATTTATATTTATATATTTATACTTATTTACACAGAAAAAGAAATTAATGTTCATTGGTTCTAAATGACAACATAACAGCACGGTTGTGGGTTTGATCCCCATCACTTAATAATTAATAATTAATAATCATCACTATTGATCATGAGGGGTCCCTTCCAACTCAGAATATTCTATTACTTTGTGCTAATTCTCTTTCATTAATTAGTATATTATCCTCTATTGGTTATTAATTTCTCTCTTTTTCTGCTAATTAGACCATATTTTTAATCTTTTTAGTCTTTTTTTTTTTCTCCAGCAGAGACTCTCCAATGCCTAAACTAAATCTTTTTTAGTCTCCTTTTTCTTCTGGTTTCTCCAAAGTCTCCTTGTGGTCCATAAATTCTGCATTCCAGATGTCCAGCCTCAATCCATCCTCCTCTCCCAGGCTTTGTTCATTGGAGTATATCAGAATAAATTTATCAAAACTTCAAATTCCAGTAATTTTCCCAAGCTGTGCTCCTGCAAAAGTGGCTCATAATAATCTTGTTCCATGCTGGCTGAGAATAATTGAAGAATAACTCACTATTTATAATTAATACATTTATTGGTTGGGATTAATTAATTAAAACAAGTCATTTAAGAGTTAAACCATTAACCAAAATTATCCAGGGGGTGGATACTGGAGCTTCCTCCTGGCTAGGGCTGTCTGAGGGACAGCAAGCCCATTTTGCTGAATTTTCTGAATTCTCAGGGCTGTTTTCACTTGGAATTTTATTGAAAACAAAGATTTTGGGGCATTTTTATGGTGACAGAGCCGTGCCAGGCTCCAGATTGCAGCTGAAATGTGAGTGAGCCAGGAGGGGAGGGGAAAGCCTGGTGTCCCCGGCTCTGGTCCCAGGGCTGGGCTGGTGTCCCCAGGGATGTCCCCTCTGTGCTGGATCCACGGTGCTGCCATCAAAAACTGCCTGGGATCCATGGAACAAACCCTGGACTTCCTCTGGGAAAGGATCTGCTTCCTCTCAGGATTTATCCCACAAATCAGGGCCTAAAACCTCTCCTGGCTGACACAACAACAGCATTGCACTGAACATGCCCTGCTCAGACTGGAGATTTTGTCTTTCTTTGGGCCTTATCGAATTTCCCGAGTTCTTCCCAGCCCTGGCAGATATCCAGGGATGTCATCACACCCTGGGACATCCCTGAGTGCACAAACAGAGGACAGAAAACAGTCTGGTCCCTGCCTGCCATGAATCTGAGAGGAATCATTGCTCTAAGCCACAAAAGTTGCCTTCAACAATAATAATAATAGTAAAAATAATAGTAATAATAGTAATCATAATAGAAATAGAAATAGAAATAGAAATAGAAGTAGAAATAGAAATAGAAATAGAAATAGAAATAGAAATAGAAATAGAAATAGAAATAGAAATAGAAATAATAATGATGATGATAATACTACTACTAATACTACTACTACTAATGATGATAATAATAGTAATAATAGCAATAGTAATAGCAATAATAGCAATAATAGTAATAGTAATAGTAGTAATAATAATAATAATAATAATAATAATTCTCACAATAATCTCTTTTTCCTCCCATCCTTTCCCCAGTTGGTGGAGTATTTAAAACTCAAACCAGACGGGCTGATTTTCTACCTGAGGGAAGCCTGCCCCAACCCCAACATGCCAGGTGAGCTGGCACCTCTCAGTGCCACCCCTGGCCTTGGTTTGCCACCAACTGGTGGCAGCTGGAGCAGTTCCAGCCCGAATTTCCCTTCCAGTGCCCAGCCCTGGCGAGGAGGGGGCAGCGAATCTGGGCCATTCTCCCGTGGTGCTGTCACTGCCCAGGCCTGGCCTAAGGTGGCCCAAAGGCAGGAGCCAGGGGGGTCAGTGACAAATGGATTTGGTGCCCAAAAGATGGATTTGGAGCGTGACCTGCTTTTTGGGCAGCAGGAAAATCCATGTCCTGCAAGGCTGGGCCCTGCTGGCTCTCTAAACACTCAAAACCAGGGGGCACTTCGGGTCCACGTGTCACAAATGTCACTTCAGAGCCTGGCCTGGGGCACAGCTCTCTGCCCCTGGCCCCATGGCATGCTCCAGTGCTGGCACTTTCCCTGAGAAAATTTGGGAATAACAGACACATCCAGACACATTTCCACACCTTTTTTGGCTAAAGCTGTGGAAATTTTCCTTTGGGGGTGGAGGGGATGTGATCAGACCCACAGGGTCCTTCAGGGGCGATGCTCTGACCCTGCCTGGGGAGAAGTGCTGATAACAAACTCCTGATAACAAATCCTCTCTCCTGGTTCACAGCCTCTGCAGCACCAGTCCCACCCACCCACCCCTCCGTGAGCGTAAGTTTGGGGGAGGCTCTGTTTTATTGGCACCTCAGCGATTTTAATATTGCTGCATTTCAAGCTTGGCTGATCAAACCCTGCTCTTCAAACTCTGCTTTTGTCTAAGAGCTCAGGAACTGCACTGGGCTTTATTGAGCCCAGCTGGGATGTTGTTCCCTTTCCAGCTTGGATGGGGGTGGGGAATAGCTGGGCACAGCCCCTGGTAGAGCTGAGAGGGGTTTCCATTCATCCCGAGCTCCTTGCAAGATGTGGGCCTGTTCTTGGGGACCCCTCCATCCCTGCCCTGCTGGCCAGGCAGGAGCGAGGAGGCCGTGCTGGGATCCTGGGAATGCTCATCCCTGCTGCTCCCACTGGCCCCCAGCCAGGGCTTTGTGCTCCCTCTGCCCCAGGGAATGTCCCTGCTCAGTCACTGCGTGCTGAGCTCTGCTGAAAACAGCGGGTTTGGGGGTCCCAGGGGGGCTGAGTGAGGCCTGGGGGGTCACCCATCACCTCAGGGTGTTCTCACAACCCACAGTGACCTCCGGGGTGCTGGCACTGCCCAGGCTCCCCAGGGAATGGGCCCGGCCCCAAGGCTGCCAGAGCTCCAGGAGCGTTTGGACAGCGCTCTCAGGGATGCTCAGGGTGGGCTTGTTGGGGGGTCTGGGCAGGGCCAGGGGCTGCACTGATCATCCCTGAGGGATCCAGCTCTGGAGATTCTGGGATCCTGTGACTCTGGCATTCCAAGCTGAGCCACCCTGTCACTCTGTGCTCTGGGGACAGTGGCTGCACAGTCCCTGTGTGCTCACAAGGGCTCTCTTCCTGTGCTGGCTGTGACCTGAGCTGTCCCCAGGCTGCCCTGCCCTTCCTGCAGACCGGGAGTGCTGGGATAGGGACAGCAGAGGGGACAGAGAGCCCTCACCCTGCACAGCCCCTGGGAGAAGGGTGCTGTGCTCAGGGTCCCTGGGCTGTGCCCTGCCCTGGGGGAACTGCAGCCAGGACTGGAACAGCAATGTTGGCTCCAGTCTCAGCCCCCCTCAGGGCCTTTCAGAGGCAGCTCCAGCTGGGGCTGTGTTGGGGGTGCATTTTCCCCGTCCCTTGACTTTGCATTTGCAACTGAAGCAATTTCTCCTTTATCCACTTTCTCCTCACTTCTCTTGCAGAGAAACCTGGGCCCTCTCAATGCTGACGGATACACACCAGACCCTGTAGGTGAGCACCTCCACAGCCCTCTCCTCCTCACAGGGGACAGGACTGGGGATGTCCCAGGAGCCTGGCGGTTCCCTGGAGCCCTGCTACAAAGCTCCTTTCTTACAGAAGCACCCAGGAGCACCCCAGACATTTCGGGGTTCTGCACCCACACCGGGCTCCCAGGAAATCAAGCCCTACCCCATTCCTTGCCTTACCCAGGAAATGAAGCCCTGTTCTATTTTTCACTAAATACTCAGTGTATTCAGCTGAATTTCAGTGGGGTAAAGCCCTGCCCAGGGCTGGCAGGGCAGATATGTGGAGTGGGAATGCTCAGACCCCTCTCCCCATCCCACCTCCTTCAGCAGCCAGAACTGGGAGGGGCCCTGGGTTGTGAAAGGAAAGGAGATGCCCAGCAGGGACGAGAAATGCTGGAGGTGAAGGTGAATTGGCCAAAAGAGCAGAGAAACCCTCCCCAATCCATCAGGGGCAGCGGGATGGGGAAGGGCAGGTTTGTAACAAGTGTTCCTCTTGGGAAGGGGCAGGAAAATCCCGCCCGCTGCCCATGGACACCAGCGTCTACGAGAGCCCCTACAGCGACCCCGAGGAGCTGAAGGACAAGAAGCTGTTCCTGAAGAGGGACCACCTGATGATTGATGAGGTGGAGCTGGGGGCAGGAAACTTTGGCTGCGTCAAGAAGGGAGTTTACAAAATGAGGAAGTGAGTGAGGGTCCTGGAGAAGGGGGAGGGCTCCAGGGGTTCCCAGCTGTCCTGGTGGTCACTAGATGGACCCTACAGTGGCAGTGGAGTGGAGAAGAAATGATCTGCAAGGTCAGGGATGATGGATGTGGTGGCTGAGGCACCACCCCTGGAAGTGTTCAGAAAATGAGCAGATTTTGTGGTGGGGTTTAGCAGGGGTGGTGGTGCTTGGTCAGGGGTTGGATCTGATGATTTTGCAGGTCTTTTCCAACCTCAACAATCCCATGATATTATGATAGGGTGCTGTAATTCCATGGTTTTCCGTGGATTTCCACTGACAGCTGCATTGCCCTGGGTGTGGAAGCTGTGTCGCATTCCCAGGCGCGCAGCTGCCACTTCCAAAGGGACTTGCTGGGCTCAGAGGAACAACTCCACATTCCTGAGGCCACCTCTGGCCATGTCAGGCCAAAGCAGTGACACTGAGGGGTTGTGCCACCCTTGGCTCTGTTGCTGGTTTTCTGTGATGGTCTTTACTTACTTGTGCCTCAGTTTCCCCTGGAAAAATGGCACTGATGACCCAGATCTCATTGTGGGAGGGGAAGTGTCTCCAGATCAGGGGTGGCAACTTCTGGCCTACACCTCCAAGGGTGAGGTGACCTTTTCTCTCCATCCTGGGACACCAGAATGGTGCAGGGCTGTGGCAGAACAGGCTGCTGAGGGGTCAGACAGCGTCACGTGAGCAGGGATTGCCATTCCTGGCTGTGACCCCTGGTTCCAGCTGTGCTCAGCGCATCCCTGGCTGTTCCCCTGTGCAGGAAGCAGATCGACGTGGCCATCAAGATGCTGAAGAGCAACAACGAGAAGACGGTGAAGGATGAGATGATGAAGGAAGCGCAGATCATGCACCAGCTGGACAACCCCTACATCGTGCGCATGATCGGGGTGTGCGAGGCCGAGTCGCTGATGCTCGTGATGGAGATGGCATCTGGAGGGCCCCTCGACAGGTTCTTGGCTTCCAAGAAGTGAGTGTTGGATAAAACGTGGCTGATTTTGTGTTTCTTCTCAAAATCTGCTTCAAAACCCTGCAGGTTTTGAGGGTGCAGGAAAGCTGAAAAGAGCAGAAACCTTTCATTTCTGTCATTGAGGCTCCAGGGGCTGATGCTCATGGAGCAGAGATCTCCGTGCTCATTCTCCCTTCCAGCTGGAAATGTCAGAGGGGACCACAGCAGGTCCTTTATTGCTGAATTCTCCTTTCACCTTTCCCAGGGACGAGATCACAATGAGCAACATCGTGGAGCTGATGCACCAGGTATCCATGGGGATGAAGTACCTGGAGGAAAAGAACTTTGTCCACAGGGACCTGGCAGCCAGGAATGTCCTGCTGGTCAACCAGCACTACGCCAAGATCAGTGACTTTGGGCTCTCCAAGGCTCTGGGAGCCGATGACAGCTACTACAAGGTGGGTGTGAGCACAGCAAAGGGTCTGGAGCAGGAGCCCTCCTGGCTGGGAGGATGAGAACCCCAAAGACTTGAGGATCTGGGTCGCTCATGGACCCCTCTGCACAACATCAGGCTCTGCCTCACTGCTGTGACATTAAAAGGGGCAGAGCTCTGGTGACAAGGAGGATGCAGAGGCAGCCAGGGGGATGTGGGGCAGAAGGATGAGAGAAGAGAAGGTTATGAAGAGTGAGCCAGGGCTGGGAAAGGAGAGACCCCACCTGGAATTGTGTGTCCAGCTCTAGGGACCTCAGCACAAGACAGATGAGGACCTGCTGGAATGAGTCCAGACAAGGCCACTAAACTGGTCACAGGGACAGAGCCCCTCTGCTCTGGAGCCAGGCTGGGAGAGCTGGGGGTGCTCACCTGGAGAAGAGAAGGCTCCAGGGAGAGCTCAGAGCCCCTTGCAGGGCCTAAAGGGGCTCCAGGAGAGCTGGAGAGGGACAGGGGACAAGGCCTGGAGGGACAGGACACAGGGAATGGCTCCCACTGCCAGAGGGCAGGGCTGGATGGGATATTGGGAAGGAATTGTTGGCTGGGAGGGTGGGCAGGCCCTGGCACAGGGTGCCCAGAGCAGCTGTGGCTGCCCCTGGATCCCTGGCAGTGCCCAAGGCCAGGCTGGACGGGGCTTGGAGCAGCCTGGGATGGTGGAAGGTGTCCCTGCCATGGCAGGGGGTGGCACTGGATGGGATTTAGGGTCCATCCAACCCAATCCTTTCCATGATTCCATGGTTTAACTGAGCCCTAGGGGCCAGTGGCAGGAGAAGGGTGGCACCGTGGGCATTCAGAACCTGCACAACAGGACAGCAGGGCCTGGGCTGGACTCTGGAACTCCCATTTTAGGTGATTTTTTCAGCAATGTGAGATTTGATGCAAACACTGAGTAGAATTCAGGTGCAGCTCCAGCACTCGTGTCTCAGGATTGAAATGTCCCTCCTTGCTCTGCTGCAGGCCAGGACAGCAGGGAAGTGGCCCTTGAAGTGGTACGCCCCAGAGTGCATCCTCTTCCACAAGTTCTCCAGCAAAAGCGACGTCTGGAGCTACGGTGTGACCATGTGGGAGGCCTTCAGCTTCGGGCAGAAACCCTACAAGGTGAGGCAGAACCCTACAAGGTGAGGCAGAACCCCACAAGGTGAGGCAGAACCCCACAAGGTGAGGCAGAACCCCACAAGGTGAGGCAGGGCCCTACAAGCTGGCTCTGTCACTGATGGGTGTGACAGTCCCAGCAGGGACACTCTGAAACCACAGTTCCTACTCCCTTGAGTGGGTGTTCCCACAGTTGGACACACGGGAAAGGAGACAGCCCCATTTCCACTTTGGGAAAGGCATAAATTAGGGTGGATCCCACAGCTCTGTGTTCATTTTAAGAGAGAAGAAATAGAAAACAAGCAGAATTAATTTGGGAATCTTCTGCTCATTTGAGAGATAAAGAAAAGACTTCTCATCCACTGCTGGCCCCGTGCTTGGGGTGGGACCTGGAGGGTGAACAGGATGGGTGGGATTGGGTCTGGAGGGTGGGAGGGATGGGATCTGGAAGATGGGTGGGAAGGCTGAGTGGGATGGAGCTGGTAGGACAGGAGGGATGGGGTGAGTAGGGTGGGTGGGATGGAATGGACAGGATGGGATCTGTGGGATGGATGGGATGGGATCTGTGGGATGGGATCTGTGGGATTGGATCTACAGGATGGATGGGATGGGATCTGTGGGGCGGGATGGCCTGGCCACAGTGAACAGTTCTGGCCGCTAGGGTGGGAACAGTGACTGCTGGGTGTGGGGGGTGTGGGACCACAGCTCCACCCCAGGCCCAGCTCTAACCTGTCTCCTAACCCTGCTGCCAGCTCTGAACACAATAATCCCTTTCCCATTTGCCCCCATCCCAGAAAATTAAGGGCCCCGAGGTGATCAACCTCATAAAGCAGGGCAAGCGCATGGACTGTCCCCAGGAGTGCCCTGCAGAGATGTACGCCCTGATGCAGCAGTGCTGGACATACAGGTGAGCATTTCCCAGGGTGGCAGCTCCATCAGAGTCACCAAATCCCACAATGGGACTGGAATTTTGGGTTGGAAAGAACCTTAAAGCCCATCCAGTCCAACCCTGCCACGGGCAGGGACACCTTCACCACGCTGTCTGCATGGTGACAACACAAAGCAAACGGTGTCTCCTGCCTTTGTTTGTGATGACTCCACAGCCCAAGATGAATTTTTTAATATCAGACCCCCCCATCTGCCCGTGCCAACCCTGGAAGATCCCCAAGGCTCTGTGTCTTTGACCCTCTTCATCCCAAAAATGTCTCAGCTGCCTCCTGCGCCCTGGCACAGCCACACTGCTGCTCTCCCCCAGGGTCTCTGTGCGTCCTCCCATTGCACCTGGCCAGTTTTGTCCTCTCTGATGACCTTTTTTGTTCCTCTCTGCCCTTGCAGATGGGAAGAACGTCCAGGATTTGTGGCTGTGGAAAACATGATCCGCTCCTACTACTACAGCATTGCTGCCAAGCCCGAAAACGGGCCAGGCACAGGGGACAAGGCCAAAGCAGCTCTCCCTTGAGATTCCTTCTCCGTGCCTCCACCTGCCCTGCATGGAGCTGGAAGGGTTCCTTGTGAAGTTTTGCTTTAATCTCTCAAATGCTCCTCAGCAGCTGCGGAACTGAGGACACAGGGGACATTGGTGTCCCCACAGACAGGGACACCCAGCTGTGCCTCCCAGCTCCACCAGCCTGACCCAGCCCAGGAGTACAGACAGTGTCAGAGCTCCTTCCCACCCAATTCCAAAGCTGTCCCAGAGCTTTGTGCCTCTCAGGCTCACTGAGGATGAACTGTGTTGGCTCCAGAAAATCTGGATTTTCCCAAGTCCCTTAACAAACAATGCTTTCCCAGGAAACAACCAAGTGCACGTTTCTGGTGGGGTTTGCAGAGGGTGGGACCCGGCACAGGGAGCCACCGAGTCCTTTTCCCCTTGGATTAGGGCAGGGAGCAGCTGGTTTGCAGCTGGGATGGGGAGGAACAGTGGGACAGAGCTGGTTTGCCCCCCTGCACCCTGGCCAGCACAGAGCAGGTGTCACCCAGCCCTCCAAGGTGGCTCCCAAACAATCCCAGGACCAATCCCTCAGCTCCTGGATCCCACCTGGCCCCTGTGTGCTGATGAAATGTTGTTTTTCAAGCTTAAAAACTGGTCACCCTATAAATAAACTACTCCATGTTCTGAACATCCCATGGCTCGGATCATTGAACTTTGAGAAATGTTGGCAACTGCTTCAGGCTCGTTGCCAAAACCCCCAAACCCATCGGGATAAGAGAACCCTCCAACGCTGCATTTTTAGTGTTAGAAAATTGCTTTATTCTCAGCTCTGGGTGTGGATGGGGCTGACAAAATCCCAGCCTCCACACAGCCCCCGATCCAAAACTTCCTCACCTTTTTATACATTTTTAGCAAACAAAGCAGTGAATGTTCATTGCAGCATATCAAGGTTAGCTCAACAAACTTTACAGTTTTAGTCGTTTTTCCAGGCTATGTTCCCACAAAAGGAGCGTTGCTATATGCCAGAAATAATTTAAGAATAACACATTGTCTATAATTAACACATTGGCTAGGGTTAATTAACTAAAATGTAATTAAAACCATTAACTAAAAGCTATTTTAAAAGTTTTATTTATCATTTCCAACAGGCTGACAAGAAAATAAATGTGATTTCCCTCTATGAATCCAGGATTTCCCTCCTTGCCCAACCTCCCCCTTTGGGCTGGTTTTGGTGCACAGCTGAAAGGTTTTTTGCATGTTTTCTTGCAAAAACAGTTGCTCACCTGCCCCAGTGCAGGGGATTGCTGCAGAGAACAGAGGCTGTGAAGGCTCTGAAGGAAGCAGGAGGCAGCAAACACAAGAATTTATCTCTCACCATCTCCTGGTAGCTAAAGCCACAGAGCAGCTCCCCCCCAGCACCTTGTCCTGGGGGAAAACAAACAGCCTCAGGCCAGCAGAGCAAGTGGCATTTGGGCTGAAAACAAAGCTCTGGTAATTAGGTAATTAGGTAATAAAGTAATTAACCATATCAACCTCTGAATCAACCTCTGTCCCAGCAGTAACTGAGACAGGTTTGATGAAAAACAAATCCTAAATTTCCTTGCTGAGAAGCTTCCAGAGACACCAACTCTTCACATGTGGCATTTTCTCTCTCAACCCCATCAACTTGTCCTGAATGTTGAACTCTGGATCTATTATCCCTCCCAGCAGAGAGGAAAACAGGTATCCAGGAGAACCTTCCTCGTTCCTGTTTGTTCAGTCAGTGCAGAGACAGGAAAAAATTCTCCTCTCTGTCATGTTTTCCTCCCAGAGAAAGCAGCTCTTTAGCTGGAAAAGAGAAGGCTCAATGTGTTTTCTACTTGGAAGCCACTGCCAAAACATTTTGTTTAGACTTTGTTTTCAAAACAAATCCATTTTCTGGTTTGAAATGATTTCTTGCAATAAATTTTCAGCTAATTGGGCACTGCTATTTTTTTTTCAAACAGGGAAGGAAAGCACCAGAGAAGTATTCCCAGAGAAACTTCTGCTTTAGTTGGAGACAGTTTTGGGTGTGTGTATCCACACCCTGACAGACAGGACACAAATCCCTTGGGATTATGCCAGAGGACCGAGGGAAGGGGTTTATCCTGCCTGGGATGGGGATAATTTGGGTTGGAAGCTGTCTCTTCCAAGAGCATTGGAAAATATCAGAAGTTGCTGGAAGGGGAAAAAGGAGTGAGACAAGCAGGACCTGAAGTCACAGAGCTCCTGAGAATCTTTGTAATTCCTGCTTTTGAGATGTGCAGGGTCTGTCAGTCACCCCTGAGGAGAATTTCCTTGGAACTGGGGCCCTGATCATCCCACTCTGCCATTCCAGAGGGACTCAGCCCCCTCAGTGGGAACATCTCCAGGCCTCCAGGCCCTACAGCCTCTCCTATCTCCCACCCACAGCAGGGATTTTCCCAGCCCTGCCTCTCTCCCCACTCCCTGCTGCAGGTGAAACACCCTGCAGGACCTGCAGCCCCTTCCCTGTCTGATCCCAGGGATCTGGGGTTGATAAGGGCAGTGTCACTGACAAAGGCAGCAGCTGGAGAGCAGACTCAGAGCTCTGTGGCAGCTGCTCCTCTTCCAGAAACTTCCCCAAATCCTCTCTTTTCTTCCTTCCCTCCTTCTCTGCACTCATCCATCTCCCTCTGTTTTTCCCAAATCTTTCAGGCTGTCTGGAATTTTCCACCCTCGGTGTTTGGAGGGAAGGGACAAGCTTCACCTTCTGAGCACCCAGAGTGAAAACGTGACAGAGCTGGCACTCATCTGATCACCACTGACACCTCAGCAGATCCCCCAGCCTGATCTGGCTCATCCCAGCCTGTCTTATCACCAGCACCCCAATCTCATCACCAGGACCCCCATCCTATCCAGGACACGCCTGCTTAGCAGCTGCACACAAGGACAAAGTGACCTTTCCATCCCTCTCAGGTTTTGTTCAGCAGCACAAAAATGGGACCAAAACCAGCTCTGGGCTCCCTGATCTCTGATTCAGAGCCCTGAGGAGTCCCTGAACCCACAGAAAAGGAGATTTTCCACACTATTTTCCCTTTTCCCACTGGGCTGTTCCCTCCTTGGCCAGCAGTGAAATGTCTGGCAACCAGGAAAGCAGAGAGAGCTTTGGGCCTGCCAAAAATACACTTCCAAATCCCACATTTCCCCATGGAGTTCAGGTGAACCTCTGATCCTACACTGTCCCCTCCTTTCCCTGCATGACAGGAGATCATCTTCTTCCTAAATCCCTCAGAAGGACGTGAGGCAGGGAAGGGTCTGACTTGTCAGGGGTTGTCAGGGGCCTGGAAGAGAAGCTCCCATCCACCTTTGTTTGTTTTTCTATTTCCCACCCCCAGGTGATGCCTCCTTTTTATATTCCAAGGCTTTCCTAGCTCAGAGCAGTCAAACCACACCCAGCACAAGCAGTGCATCCATGGACTGAGCCATGGCCACCCCTGCCCTGCTCCCAGGAGATCCCACCTGGAATTCTGTGCACGGTTCTGGTGCTCCCAGCAGGAGAAGGACGTGGAGCTGCCCTTGGAACAAATCCAGAGGAGGACAAAAAGCTGACAGGGGGACTGGGGCACCTCTGGGTGGTGCTCACATGGAGAAGAGAAGGTTGTGTGGAGAACTCAGACCCCTCCCAGGACATGAAGGGAAGCCAGAACGGGATTCTGCATCAGGAATTGGAGCGTCAGGATGTGGGGAATGAGGTTAAACTGGAAGAGGGGAAATTTAGATGGGATACTGGGAAGGAATTGTTGGCTGTGAGGGTGGTAAGGGGCTGTGATGGATTTCCTAGAGCAGCTGTGGCTGCCCCTGGATCCCTGGCAGTGTCCAAGGCCAGGCTGGACAGAATTTGGATTTCTGGGATTGTGGAAGGTGTCCCTGCCATGGCACGGCCTGGAATGAGATGAGCTTTAAGGTCCCTTCCAACCCAAACCATTCCAGGATTCTAATTAGCCAAATCTAATTGTAGAGGTTTCTGCCATGGACCCAGGAAGAAAAAAAGATATGCCAGGCCCTGGAAGATGCAAACTGAGGTGCAAAATTCGAGGTTTCTCTGGCAAGAGGAGTGCAGGTGGTGGGGCTGGTTTAGGTATTAACAAATATCCAAGGCCTGGGGAAAATCACCTCTCTTCTCACAGCAGAAGTAAAAGATTTCTTTGTTTGCCCTCAGGAAATCTGGTGGAGCAGATGAGAACTGGACTCAGCCAAAAGGTCTTTTCTTCTTTTCCATCTGTTTGTTTGGGTTTTTTGTTTGTTTTTTAAATGTTATCCTGGTTTTCCCTGTTAGATATCACTGTCCTTCATGTGCATTTTCTTCAGAAAAGAAGAAAACACCCATTCTCCTGTCATGGAGGGAGAGGAGGGGACGGTGTAGGACCAGGAATTCACCTGAATTCCATGAAGAAATGTGAGATTTGGAGGTGCACTTTTGGCCTTCCTGGTTGTCAGACATTTCACTGCTGCTCAGGGATGGGACAGCTCGAAGGGAGACAGGAAAAGAGCCAGGAATAGCTTGGAAAATATCTTTCAGAAATCCTTCAGATGGATTTTTTTTGGTTTTTTAATCAACAACAGAAACCCAAACAGAAACAGAAACTGGAAAAGAAGCGAGGTGCTGGTTCTGATCCTTATGGGACTCCTCCAGATCGATGATGCTGTTGGAGAGTAGGAAATCCATCCTCACTCATCTCTTCCAGAGATCCCCACGTGGGGACCTGAGGACCCTGCGGGGTGGGGACAGGAGGATCCTGTGGGGTGGGGACAGGAGGATGCTGCGGGGTGGGGACAGGAGGATGCTACGGGGTGGGGACAGGCACTGGGACACTGCTGGCAGGTCCTGCAGCGAACCAGGAGGTGCAGAGAGCATCGATGACGCCCCTGTCACAAAGAGAGGCTGTGTTTTTGTCCCTGATTGCCACCAGCCAGCAGGGGCAGTGGTTTCAGCAGCTGATTCTCTGGGCTGGCTCTTGTGGCCATCACCAACGAGCTTTGGCCATGGGGAGATGTGCCCAGGGGACAGTGCCTGGTGTCCCCCTGGCCTCCTCAAGGCCTCTGCTCTGCTGAGGTGGCACTTCTGGGGCCTTGCTCTTACAAACTGGAGGATTTGTGGGTACCCAGGAATTTTGTTCTTGACCTGAGGTCCCCTTGGGGCCCATCCTCCTTCTCTCCTCCATTTCTGGGCTCTCCCTCCTGTGACCTCCATCTCTCCCTCCTCTGACCCCCAGGCTGGGCTTGTGGCTCTGGGCCAGGGTGAGGGATCCTCAAACTGAGCAGAAAAATAATTGGGTGTCAAGAAATTAAAAACTGCCTTCAGTAAATACATTTTGCTATTAAATCAATTAATTAAATTAATCTACAAAGTCATTGCTGAAGGAACTGCTTCTCTTTGCTGCCCTGGCTCATCCATCAGCTGGGCAATGCTGTGGCCAGGGCTGTGTGGGCAGGGGGTTGGGCTGGCAGTGTTTGAGGGCACATCGAGGACCTGGCCTGGCCTTGCTTTGTTTCCACCGAAAGCTCTGATGGAATAAAAACCTTTCCCCAGAGCTCTTCGGCTGGGCCTTGTCAGCGTTCTCAGGTGGAAAACTCAGCT